GGAGGAAAACAAGATATCAAAGAAACAGCTGTACCCCCATGTTCATTGAAGTATATTAGCCAGGTTATGGAAACAAGCAAAATGTCCAGTAACAGATGAATGGATAAAGAAAAGTTTATGTGTGTGTACATGCACACATATGCCTAATGAGATATTACCCAGTTATAAGAAAAAGGGAGGTCATGCCATTTGCAACTTAGCTGGACCTTGAGATTAGTCAGTGAAATGAAATAAGTCATGAAGAAATGGAGAAAGACAATGTTCTCACTATTATGTGGAATCTAAAAATACAAGCTCAGGGTGGGTGAAACAAAAGACGAAGGTGGTCAAAGGGTACAAAATTCCAATTAAAAGGTGAAAAATTCTGGAGAGCTCATCTACAGCACATTGACTATATTTATTGTATACTTGGGAGTTGCTAAGAGAATAGATCCTAAAAGTTCCCACCACCCACACACAAAGGTAACTCAGTGAGGTGATGGACATGTCTACTATTGTTGATGAGGTCATTATTTCACAATACCTACATATATCAAATCACCCTGTTGTTGAACCTTTTAAATGTTCACAATGTATGTAGATCAATTATATAAAGCTGGCTGAGGGAGAGAAGGAACATGCCTTCCCCCACCCCTGCCCCCCCAAAAAAAACCTCTTACCAATACATGTCATAAGCTTTCCATTTTCCAGTCTTTTCCAAGGGCAAAGGGCATTATCTGCTTTCCATATCTTGCCATGCTGGCCTGGGAAACTGTTTGCCAAATGATTCACTCCTATGAATATGAATCACCTTCCTCACAGCTTCTAATATCACTTCCCTTGTTGTGCACAGAGTAACCCCTAAGCCATTGCCATCTATTTCAGTGTTTTTTTTTTTTTTTCATAACATCTCCCTTCGGCAACAACTCCTTTATTAGTCAAGACTGGTTCAGTGTTGCTGCAGTAATAAACACCAACATCTCAGTGGCTTGAAACAACAGAAATTGAATTCTTATTCATATTCTTTTCATCACAGGAGAGCAGGAACGCTGCTCGCTGGAGTCGCTGAACCCAGGCTGTCTTTACGTTGCCTTAGCAGAGGGAACAAAGCACTCTCAAGGGTCTTGCATTGGCAAGACTAAAAGTGAGTCATGTTACTTCTGCTCATCGCTAAAAGGCCAAAATTAGTTACATGACGTCACTCAACTACAAGAAAGCCAGGAAGAGCAATTCTCTGTTGTGCCCAGAATGGCAGACAAAAAAAAATTAATATATCTGTTCCACACTATGAGTACCTATCAAAGTAGGCACCAGAAAGGAAGGAAGGGAGGAAGGAAAGAAAGAAAGAAAGAAAGAATGAAACATATGTGACAAGTGAGGTGTGAGGTGATGGGGGTATAACTGGGCTCTGTAGTTGACATAATTGGGGGGATTCTGGGAAGACTTTCTGAAGAAGGGACATTAGCACTAGGACCTAAAAGGTCAGAAGAAGTGAGAATGAGTTAAAGAACATTCCAGACAGGGGCCCTCCCTGGTGGTGCAGCGGGTTAAAGCACAGCACTGAGAAGCTAAAGCCACTTCCGCATGAGTTCGATTCCCGCCTGCCCCAGAGGTGACCACATGGCATGGCAGACCTCTCCTGACCCGCCCGCTGCTCCCCTCAGCAGTGTACTTCATTGATCTGCCTGTTCTGCTCCCCCACTCTGTCTCTGGTGAAGCCTTTCACCCTCCGCATCTCTGGCCTGTATCCCAGTTCTGTACGAATAAATAAATAAATCTTTAAAAAAAAAAAAAAAAAAAAGAACATTCCATACAGGAAAAACAGAATACAGACCCTAGGGTAAGATGAGCTCAGTTTCTCCTAAAACTGACAGAAGTCGATATCTCTGGAAACCAAAGAAGCAATGGGGTCATGGGGTTAGGGTGTGTCCCATGTGATAAGAGACAACATTAGGGTGCCATCACAGATCACCTTGAAGGCTATAGGAAATAATTAGGGTTTTATCCTAACTGTAATAGAAAGTCATTGAAAGATCTTAGAGCAAGAAGAACACGTTTGATTTATGTTTTAAAAAGGTCACTCTGATATGTTGGTAATTCCTTGGAAAATGATAAGAGTGGAAAATGGGAGGTGTCCCAAGAATGAAAGTGGGGAGATGCTAGCCAGGCAGATAATGATGACAGAGGTCAGTAAGGGTACTGAGTGGGTGTCAGTAGAGATATGGCGAGAACTGCGAAGTGTAAGAGAACTTTTGAAGATGTTACCTTATAATAAGGGAACAGCAAGGATAGTTGGAAGCCAAAATGCATTCACTTGGGAGCAGCGGAGAACTGCAACTTGTGGAGCTCAGGTACAGATTAGAAACCCAAAACATGTACTGAGGGAGAACCTAGTTTGGGACGTTCTTAGGGAGAAAAAAAGAAAGAAAGAAAAAGAGTAATGGAGGATGAAGTAACAAATGATGTAATGGCTCATGGAGGAGGCATCAGTCACTTTGGGAGGAGGTCCCCAAGTAAACGTTCTCTTTATCAGCCCGTCAAACAAGTACTCTCATACCAAATCATTCTCCTTGGAATGTGCTTCTTGTTCTAGCTTAGTCAAGGGCCAGATCCAATTTAAAAAGGATGATAAATAGGCCTCTCCCACGGTGACTTTCATGTGACCCTCACAGTTAAAGACAGTGAGGTGCTAGTTAAAGAGATAGGGACAGATTTGTATCAGTGGTAACTACTGAAATGAGGAAGAGTCCAGCATGAGCAAAAGTCAACTTCCATTTGTCCAGAGATGAGTGGGTGTTTTAATGGGGGATGGAGGGATGGGGGTGTAGAGTCAGCGAAGTGAAAAATTACAAGATTGGTCTGGAAATGCAGATAGGCAGCTGCT